TGCTATCCTGATTGAAATAAATAGATAAAGAAAAACTAGCGTAAAAGGCTGAAATTCATTTTTGTTTTACTGAAGTTAAGATTGTCATTATTTTTCATGTTCGCAGGAAAAATTATTGCTATTTTTTCTGCAGAAATATGAAATTTTTTCCGACAAATACTTCATTATCGCTTGCTTACGCATGATGCATATATCAATAAGACATCTGTAAATTTTTAGTTACTCATCTACGAATGATTTTCGCAAAGACAAAAAAGAAACTGCGAAATAAAAGAATAAGATTTTTCAATGACTGGTCTTTACCAAGTAACAAATTTTTATGTAATAGTGGTTGTTTCTACATTTAACTGTTATTAACCGAGTTTCAATTGCTTCATAAAAGCTAAAAACAACAGCCTTTCTGGGCTTGCGATGATTGACTGTAGCTAAGTGAGACGGCCGAGAAACGAAGGTTTTGTAAGAAATTGGCCTGAGAAGTAAAGAAATTGATAAGGACCTGTAACGCTTTTTGGAAAACTCCAATTTTTAATTTTCAGAGCTCGATTTTTTATCAACCCACTACAACCGCTAATTTACTTCGTTTTTTCAGTGATCTAAATTTCTCCATTGTACATCCATAAGATGACTAACTCTTTTTTAAAAGCACTATGCCGTAGCAAAACTGAGTAAAACTAGAACAAAATTGAAAAAGAGAAAACTTTTTGTAGCTTATGGTAAACACTCAGTTGCAAATTCCAATATATACGTTAAACTACGACTATCTACGTGCATTAACTTTTACAGCTATTCTCAATCCACATTCAACTCGACTACAGAAGAAAATTTTTAAACTGAAACGACCTTTGTTTATAGTTTCTTATTTTCCATTAAAGCCTTTATTAATTAATCTCTAAATATCGACAATGCGACTCTGTAGAACTCTCCTCTAGTTGTCATCGTCTCAAAAAGAATACGTTAGAACAACGTGATGACGCAACTTCGGAATCCGGACAGTCTCAGCAGCTAAAAATGTTTAATTAATACGCCAAGTTAATGTAAGCAGTACAAAAAGCTAAGAATCTGAAGTTCATCAACAACTTGAGAACTTTAACTATTGGCGAGAAGGCAATCAAGCAAAAGAGGAAGCGCGGAAGTACAACCTTCTTGCCTCACCACTGAGTATTTTTCATACACTCCTTCAGACATAATGTAGCCAACTTTTGCATATCAAAGGCTCCCTTGAAGAAGCCGCGCCAAAGAAAATCGTGAAACACCTATAAAAATCTTCAGTCAGACAACAAAAAAAGGCGATTTTTTCGTAAATTTCTGTAAAAAAATCGCCATTTTTCTTCCACTACAACCGAAGACTCAAATTCCTAACTTTTTCAACTAACAATTGCAAGTTTTGAAAAAGTTAAACACGTATGACTTTAAAGGTTCAAAATCAAACATCAAAATACACATAGCTGTCTTCTTATTTGGCCGACTTCGACTCGATACCGCCACAGTCTCGCAGGTGCCTACTAGGCTCCACTGTCTTATCCGCAAGTGATCTTGGCAGAATCTTGTTACTAACAGTGAAACACTTCACTACCATTTTTCTTTGCGAATAACTCTTCAGTCCTGTTTTGAAGACACTTTCACACGTTTTTATTCCAAAATCACGCTGATATTTCGGGCTAGTGTAATACGACTTTTGACTTCAAATTTGGTCGCCGGTGATATCAATGCCTTCCCGCAGTTATTAACTTCGGGTTAAGTGGTGGTAGTTGAGCTATTTGGCAATGCAGTTCGAATGCTGTTTCTTTCAGTGAAATGTGCCATCCAGCTTTATAAATTGCTAAAAACTATGATTTATCTAGTTAAGGATAATACATCTAAAAAGTGTAAACTAAAATAAGTTTTTAATCCTGAGTTCACAACAACGATAAGGAAGAGAATTACAGAAAAACTATAGAAGCGTGTCAACTTTGTTCGCCAAACAGTGGGGAACTTTTATTAAGGAATCAGTCAAAGCATAAAGCGATAAGTGGCACTATGTTAGCAGTAAATTCTTGTTCTTTAAAATCGCCATCCTTTTCGCACATTTTATTCCGTATATCTTTTGCTTTTTCCTTGAACGAGAACCATGTTACGGCCGAATCTGACCCTACGTTGAAGCCAAATATGAAAGCTACAAGTCAAATCTCCATTCACTTAGCATCACATTTAAATAAGAAAGGAAAATGAGAAAAGCAACAAGAAAAATTATGGGAAGCGATCAGTTACCAGTCCCATATTTCCCAAAATTTTTTAGTTTTTAGTATCAGAAAAATCAAAACCCCAGTTGTTAATTCAAGTCATCATTCATACTGACACCAGTTCTATTCCCATCAGACATTGTGTAATTTTGCAATGATCATTTGAAAATCTAATGAACAGTAGCAGTGCAGAAAAGCCACTCAGATTTTCCATTTAAAAATTATCGATAGAATAAAGCAGCGAGGAACGGCTGTAAAAACGATCAGGTCACTGCAAACTTTTCTATCTGTATCGCTAGCCAAGCTCAGAAATAATACAGCGGCGGTTATCCGGAACAGTGATCCGCCGTCAAATTGAAAAGAAATTTGCTTATTTTTAGTGTTGAGAAAAGTAATTGAACAAATAAAAGTAAAAGGATGTACAAATAATTAAAAATATAATAATTGTTATTCCTAATTCTTTGTTATCCCAAAGATTCTAAGAAATTTGGTTTTTCTACTGTGCGCTTGTGTAAAATCAGGTTCTACAAAACGGTAATTAGGTTAAAAGTTCCATTGTTTATCGACTATTTAACCTGATAAAAATAACATGAAAAATATGTTTTTTTTGTATTTTATTGGCAAAAAGAAGAAGCAGCCTTTTATTAAATTCACTGCTATTGAATCAATCTAAATGGTACTTCGGCAACCAGAAACCAAATAAATCATTGAATTTATCCTGCTTTCTTAGGTTAACTGAATCGATCATTCGAAAAATTACTAGTTTCCTGAGAATCAAACGAAATGTGTCACACCTGACAGCAGCTTTAACAATAATTACATGCTCCTCAACTCTCACTTTTAAAGGCTTCAAAAACAAGCTCTTTTATCCTGTCTTATTCACTGGGACTTCAAGATACCAACACCTCTAAATTCTTTTGAAGAACTAACGAAGTATTTTATAAATAGTATTTAAATTATTATTTCTTGTTTATCTCTTACACGTACAATATGACCCAAAATACGGCTATTTTAGTACGGCTTTAACGGAGAACTATATACATATTCAAGTCCGATTTTATAATACGTTAAGCAGAATTTAATTTAAAAAAGTTATGTTTCTATCAAAACTTATCCCGTCAAGTTAAAAAACTAGTTCCCACTTGTTTTGATGAAAATTGCGCTGGAATGTCTTCCGATCCTTCATGTCTTTTCCGAAGTTGACATACAAGCTTATAGGTTTTGAGGCTGCTGGTGAACCTCTTTATCCGTACTGCGTGGTCTTGCTGTGAGTGTATATTCAGCAGCAGTATTAAGGCCAGACAATCCTCTCCTCTTAGGTAGTTCGGTAGTTTAAACCGAAAGCAGTTAAATCTTGCCAAGCAGAATATACCTTAGCTCCACATAAAAAAGTTACTATTGGAATGAACACATTACTCAAGCGGTGATGAAATCATACTTTCTACAGTTGCTAAAAAGTTAATAATCATGTTTACAGTCACTTTTTCAAATGAGATAATGCATCTCTTATCGAATTTCTGCTGAAGAAGTATTTGTTTCGCAGCGCACCGTGACCTCGTTTTAAATTACTTCCTTCCCGTATTTTCGCGATAAAGTCACACAACTGTTAGCCAATCGACACACCAATAAATATCAGTTTAAGGAAGAACTTTTAACATAGCGTTTCTACAAACTCGTCTCCCGAGGTTCAAATTGGCGCAATTGATGTTGAGGTTTGGCAGAAATCCAAAATTGTTTACGTACCGCTGACGCATTACATGGCTTCCGTCATGAATAACCTTGCAGATTATTCTCTCTTAAAGGCTAGATTTTTGCGCAGAGTTTTGAAAACTTTTTTAGCCTTGTTTTGGTTTTCAAGCCATTTTTGAAATATGTATCCATGAAAGACGTGCGCTGCACTCAGCTTGTTTAGCTGCTACGCTAGCCAGTTAAGGTTGCGGTCTTACATTTACAGAATCTGAAGACTGGAAAAGTCTACTTCATTAAGTGCTGAACTTAACTGCCCTCATTGTCTTTGATTGATTTCCTGTCATCTGTTGTTAAGTTTCAGATGTGGTTTTTTAATAGCTTTCATGTTTATCACTTAGTTATCAGTAACTTTTTTCTTTGACTAATTATACACTCTGTAACTTGAATTAGTTGCACCTGTAAATGTGAATTCTGCAACCGCTCCTGCAGCTGATTCTAAAGTAACCGATAATGTGCAGTTTGCACTTGCAGGGTTAGTAATGGGTTAGAGAAGTTGTCAGAAATTCAACAGAGATTGGTTTCTCAAATGGTCATCAGAACGGGGTAGTGGTTGAAATGTTGCATCACTTCTTTGTGTTCAGTTTTATATATATTTCAGGTGTAATCGTTATCGAAATAACAGCTTAAACTCTTCATGGGGGCTCTACTTGCCGCACCAGCTTGTGCTGCGTCTGTTAGTTTTATGTCATGTTTACTTGGTTTCCTAATTTTACTAATTAACTGACTATAATTATGATAATTTGTAAGATACTTTAGTTAGCTTGTTGCTGCGGAAGTGCTGCTTGCTCACTTTGCTGTAAAGCATGTCCTTCGACACGAAGTTCAATAACGACCCGCGTTATGTATGCTGGGATGTTATTTTTGGGTACGTTAGTCGCATGTATTATGTTAGCTCCTGCAGTTCAGAACAAGCTAGCTGATGTAAGTTTAACTGCAACTGTATGTACAAGGGGTTTTCTCTGCCCGACTTTCCGTATTTTTACTGTGATTTTATATAGTCGAACTGGTTTTGTCGTGGTTTATCAGACGCTAGTGGCTTAAAATGCAGTCGTGCAACTGGTTTTCAAGCTGTCTACAGGTCAGTTTCGATTTTTTGGTCGTTTTTTTTGCTTCACCATTTAAAATTCGAGAAGACTGCCGCGCCCTTTACGAAACTATATGTTTACATTGTATTACCTAACTCTCGTGTTATACGGGGATTCTAGAGAATTGCGGTTTCAGGCTTTGTGCTGCAATGGCCTCATTCTTTTTCATTTTTATGTTTCTAATGTTTGGTGTTAAAACTTCACGGGATGTTAGATCGAAGATTCAGAACGGATTCTGGTTTTTTAAGTATTTGCTTCTGATCGGAATTACTGTTGGCTTCTTCTACTTGCGGTCTGAAAGCATAGCAAGCCGTCAGTTAATTTTTTTTTTTACATATCTTATATTTTACAGGAAATTAAGCTTCGAAGGTTTTCAAAAACTAAGAGTAGCAATTTAGCTCTTTTCAGCGTTGATGTGGCTTGGACTGATCGGGGGATTTATTTTTATTTTACTCCAACTTATCCTGATTGTTGATTTCGCTCATTCGCTCGCGGAGAACTGGATAAACAAATACGAAGAGGATGAAAGCCGGGCATGTTATGCAGGTTACACTGACTGTTTGTGAAATACTGGATGTTTCTGATTTGGAGATTATTTTACAGTACTCATTTGTAATTAGCTATAAT